CTCTGCCCCCCTTTCCTTTCTCTCTTCGGCTGTCTCTTTCAAATAAAGGCATAAAGGCCAAAAAAATAATACTTAAAAAAAAAAAAAAAGATATTCCTAATTGATCTTCAACAACATTGGCGAAATCAGACACGGCTTTATGACATCACGCCAGTGACGCTATTAGGCTCCATCATTGTCTTCAGAGTGTCTTGCCTGCCCGACGTTATTGATTTTTGTATTTTGGGGGGGACGTTATTGATTTTTGTATTTGCAGCTCCAGCTGCCGTGGTGCAGCCTTGCCCAGTGGATTTTGGTCAACACACTGAAAAGGGTGGTGTTGCACACTCTACTGGCAGTCTGACTCGCATGAGCCTCACCTGCTCTGATCTCTGCAAATTCTGGAAACTGCAATGTGATGCTGAGTGAATAATGTCAGTCCACAGATGTGAAAGACATCAGCTGGTCAGGTTTTGGACTGCCAGCGATCTGAAAGTGTCACTGATGACGTTCTGACTCCGAGCATCATGAACACAAACAGACATGTCAGAAACACACAGATATGAACAGTATGCATGCCAGAGCAGTCAACTCTACATTTAGTCACCCAAGCAGTCATGCACATTCATCATGTGCACACACACATGTCATGCTTCAGTGAAGTGAAACAGTGACATTGACATGATGGAGTGGAAGCTCATTATTCTATCAGACGGACTGTAGTACCCCCTCTGCACACATCATCCATTTACCAATTACACTGTGTAAGCAGAACACCCTGTGTATGTACAGACTGGTGACAAATTAAAAGAAAAACCTTAATAAATGAGTGGAGAAACATAACAAATGCAAATGCTTTCATACAAGACATGAGGGGTCTTTGAATGGTTTGAAATATGTAAATCAATCAAAACCTGGGAGAATGGACAGAGTTCCAGTGACTACTGCAGGAGATTTGTGTTGGTTTTGCCTTTAAGTTGTCATCTATTATTGACCTAGTTTTACTTGTTGGTTATAAGATTTATTGTAACTATGCAAGAAAATTCCCTCCATTACAAGTGTTTTCTGATGTCCAGCCTGTGAAGCCCACACAAAATGCTTGCAAATGGGTTATGGTCAGAGCTTGCCTATAAACATAAGATACTGTATGATTACAGGGTACAACAAACCAAGGGCAGTTTGTCACATATTGTAAGTGACAATGTATGGCAGTAAAAGAACAATAGTTTGGCTGTATTGCATTTGCAAGATCATCCAGCAGCCGACTACAAACAAATTGGTGCTTACATGTACACAGTTTAAGCATCAAGAGAAAGTATGAGTATCAATTTGTACATCATGCAACAGGATTCAGCAACAGACAACAGAATAGGTCTGTATGTTATTTTACTGGGTAATCTCAGGCTGAAGTCTGCTTTGGTTGTTTGAATTGTTGGTTATAACATTTGAGAAATAAAGATGCAAGGACAAATCCAGCAACAGCAGAAACTTTCTAATGACACAAAATACACAGCTGCCCAAGGGGAAGCATTATGGATTTTTCTAACATGCCAATTAAATATTCACCCACAATAAGCAAATGAAAATGTGCAAAATATTCTATGTTTAATAGAAGATGTGTTAAGAGCCGAGTGAGAATTGCTAACAAGGGATGAAGAGACTGCTGCATGGATCGATAGGGGCCTCCTGTATGAAATTTAACAGAGAATTTCACATCATAATGTAATGAAATTGCAGCGAATACAACATTTGTCTGTGTTAAATAAGAGCAAGGAACACCTCACTGCAACATCAGGGAACACATCCAACACTGTTTCCATGGACACTTCAGGATCAAAGCCTCTATGTTATGATGCATGCAGATAACATACTTGAATGGCAGTAACCAGGAAGTACCCCAAGGAAACAAACTTGTTTCCAAACCGAAGCATCTGACACAAGTTACAGTCCTAATTGAATCAAGCCTACCGTTCCTATAGACAGGGTTTCCCTGAGATTCTATCCACCGCTGACTGTGATCTCAGAGCAAAACAAAGGGATGATGTCAGTAAGGAAACAGAGGAGAAAGGAGAAGACATGCTCCCAATTACATGACAGTATGATAGATTAAAGAACAAGTACTGCAAGTTTCAGGAGAAACATGTAGTGCTGGGGTCTCATGGAAATGGCTATTATTGATGAATGAAGAGATTATCTGTGTTTAATGAACTGACATGACTGTTTCCAGACTACAAAGGTGAAGCCTAATTTTTAATGGAGTTTAAAGGATAAGGTTGGTTATTCTGTATATTTTTCTTGTTGTCAACTAAACCGAAGTAAAGACTGAGTCAAACAATGAATAATCCTTCTTACAAGTATTGCATGCATCCATCCAAAGCCTGATATATCTTATTCCTCTGTGCCATAGAGCTCTATTGTTGTCCAAAAACTATTAAAAACACATCAGTGAGCCACACTGTTGTACTGGCTGACATGTTCCTTAATTACCTTTAACATGGGGACTGCAGTTTATTTTGAATTGATCCCACATAAACCACCTTGCCATAAATTCTCACTAGAGCACCGAATGTGTATTAATCCACGTCTGAATATAGTCCCCAACAGTCAGTTTGAGTATTGTTTGCTGAAAATGATGGTGGCCAGCTATTTTAGGAAGTTACTGAACCATTTTTTAAATAAAATGAAATATTTGTGACCCAAGTTTTACATCTTCAGTAGGAACCAATGGGCTTGAGGCCGAGCACCAGATAGGGTAGGGAGGTCAGAAAGTAATGAGAGATGGGTTAACGTTTTTTGTTTTTTTTGGTCTTTTCATGGTTTGTTGTAAGAAAATGCTAGAAAAACATTTTTCTTTAAAAGTGCGGCAGTATAGTGCCAAAATAATTCTGTAATTAATCAGTCAATCGACAGAAGATAAGTGAACAGCTGTTAAAACTGATCGTGTACGTCATTTATCCAGCTTAAATGCTGCTTTTAGCTACTAAAACCTAAGAATTTGTTGTTTTGCTGTATATTGAAAGTTTTTGGATTCTGGACTGTAGGTTTTGCACAAAACAAGCTTTCTAAAGACTTCACTTTGAAAGCCAGGAAGTTGTGGTGGATATTGTTAAGTATTTTTGACATTTTATAGACTGAACAATAATTATCCATTCAACTAATAATTTACTGTTAAATAAATAATGAAAAGGCTGTCAGTTGCAGGGATATAGTTATGTGCCATTGCTTGTAATGAAACAGTTTTACAAATGAAGACACTTACATTAGACAACAGAATATCTGCTGAATGTACGTGCTTTTCTTGGAATAAATGTTTTTGGTTAAATATATAATTTTTTTTGTTTTTTTTAACACATAACTTCAATAAACTCCAAAAAGTGTGTGATTTTATTATATTAGTCTTAAAGGGTATTACTGGTGTTATTCTACACTTTACACAACACATTCCACTAAAAGACTAAAACCAACGCTGCATTATTCCACTTCTAACTAATTTTCCGACGAGTGAGTGTGGCACACAAGACCCTATTGGTTACTTGAATATGTAAATCTTTAAAAACAGGTCACAAATAGAAACGTACAGTATTTACCTTAAACAGGGATTTAGCAAATGTTACTCAGTGTTTTCGTTGGGGACTATATTCAGCTGCAGATTAATACACACTTGGTGCACTAGTGAGTATTTACTTCAGAGTGGTGTATGTAGGATTCAGAATAAACTACAGCGTATGTTGCTGCGCGATAATGGAGCTCTATGACACAGAGGAATAAAACACATCAGGCTTTATCTGACAGGCTAGACTTGTTTGTGGGGACAATTCATGGTGGTTTTGGTCTGTTCAGGCGGTTTTCTGACAATAAGAAAACAATAGAATTTTAACATTTACACCTGAAACACTGAAAAAGAAAAAAAGTACACTCGTGCTTGAATCAAGTGACATTCATTTATTATGCTTCCACCAGATAAATTTACAACACAAAACATTTTAAAATCTGCCTGCGTCGTGTACCTGTGATACAGAACAGAGGCAGACGACAGAGATTATAGAGCTTTGCTGCAAAGCACACAGACACATCAGTACGTCAAGTCAGTTTGTCTCCACGCTGCTCATCTTCAGTCCTGAGCTGGAACGAGGGAGGAAGACGAAAGGGTGTAAGTAAAGAAAGCCTATTCACAGTGCTTAGAAATGCTGTAGTGGTTTGGGACCCCTCCCTCTGGATCCACAAGTACCCACACTGGGATCGAATCCCACTGGAGCCTGGAGTTTTTCTTGCTTCACCTCAGTAAACACTGAGGAATTCCTGACACCCATTAAAAAACAACAACAAAGAAAGCTTATTCACATCACAGCTCTCACCTCCACAGATCATGAGGGTTCCTCAACCATCTGGTCTGACCAGAGAGGACAACAGTTTCTGGACAGTAAAACAATGCACTGCACGTTACCCTGAAAGTGTGAATGATATGAATTTATTGCTTTTGTTAAGCTCCACGACCTAGACCATCTCCACCTTTCAGAAAAGTGTCTTTGACCACTTCTCTAAGTATTTTAATGATAGTGCCAGTGCACCCTCCTGTAGATCTGCCTCAGATCAAACACACAGCTGACTGTCTGTCACACAACACTATGGCTTTTAAATTTGCTTCAGCTTATTGACTTTTTAGAATATGCAGAGAAAATCCTGACACATTTTACATACTTTATCCCGACCCTATTTTCTTGCCTCATATATACATATAAAGCTTTTATATATATATAGTTACATATGATGCAGATCTAAAAGAAAGAGCAGTATGATTGTGAAATTGGCCCTATCACTGCAGAGCTGATTTTCATTCACAACAACAAATAAGTCTAGGTTGCAGATGACAAAAAATGTTGCTAGATCTGTAATGTGAGTGACAAACAGCTTGTTTTGAATATGATTTCAGACTCTTTGGGCAATTCCCACTCTTTGTAAAAACTGGAAATTCTAAAAAAAAAAGATTTCCATACATTATCCAGATTTTCCAGACATGCACATAGATGATCTGATCACATGGCCCACGAGATGTTGGCCGTGTGCTCCTTGGCCTTCATGCGCAGCACGGCGATGCTGGACGAGCGCCTCTCGAACTCCGGCTTGGTCTCAAAGGCATGGTGACCATTGGTGGCTGGCGTGAGGAGGGAGTCTGCACTGAAGAAGTTGTTGAGGGAGACATGGCCAAACTGGTTCTGCTGATTGGGGAAGCCCACGTAGCCGTGGTCGGTGGCACCGGCCGCCGAACGAGGGGAGTGCGAGTAGGAAGTGACGCAGGGAGGGGAGCCTCGGGGCAGCATGCAGGAGGAGACCATAGAGCCACCGGGAGACGGGCTAGGCCACAGGTTGTTGGGAATCTGTTGGGTAAAGGAAGCTTTTAGATACTGGGGCAAATGACTTTAATTTCACAAGGGTCCACTGGAGCGCATATTACAATTAAAATTACTTTTAATTGGATAATTTAGCAAATACAAAGATTTCAACGACATAGAAATACTATGTATAGACTCATACATTTTCAAACTTCACGCATATATGTACAGAATAACACTGGAAACACTTCATGTAAAGACACCTGAAACACTCACTAATGAAGACAATCAAATGCAGTTTAAACCTCAGAAAAAGCTGGTAATAGCTCCTTTTGAGTTGAGAGTATTTTATCACACAGTACAGCTCTACTTTATAGGAATGTTAAGTTCCTTCTGCATCAAAATAAATCTCTACAGAAATACAGCTGTAGTTACAGAGCTATAAAATAATGCTTAGGTGAAGGGGGAGTTTGGTCAATGATAAGATAAGATAATGATGAGTTGTACATGCAATCCAGTTGTTTAAGTAATATTATGTTCAGTGTTTAAATAAGTGGGCAAAAATGCAAATTTCTTACATATGCAGGGGAAACTATAAAGGGCTATTTCACCTACATTACCAAAAAACAAAAAAAAAAAAACATATTATTTGCGCAGGTTTTGAGTTATCTGTCTGTCCATTAAAAAATGCATTCACCTTTAATTGCATTGGGGTGAAGGCCGAAATTTCAGAGATAGAAAAAATCTAAACCTGGACAAATAAACCAAAACTTTCAGCAGGGCTAGATAACAATAGAAGTAAGAGAGAAGACATGCTTTTGAAGAGGAGGAAGTGACTGTTTAAGGGTCCAAACAATTCTAAAGACACTGGGTGTTTTGTGTCTTGGAGAGAGTTTTCATCATGAAAGCGTCATGTAGCCTCCGTTGGCTTTTGATTATTATTAATATTAAATGACAACAGGCAGGACAGAGAGAACAAAAAGGACATATAGAGGAGACTTAATCCCATCATGGTCAGGATACACTTAACACCACATGACTGATTTTTAAGCCAGGGGCTCCAGTCCACAGAGCTGCATGTCAGTCTTTAACGTAAAATGCAGACTGAGCTGACAGTTCGATCACATAACATCACCGATCTGGACTTCATCCACTCTGAGTCTGTTCATTTGGTCTCATTTTCCAAGATTTCAATCAAACTTAGAAGACAAGCCAGCGTAAGTAGCATGTAACAGCATGCAAATTCATTTAATTCTATTTGGTAAAAATAAGTCACTGAAATGTGCTACTATAGCTTTCTTCCCCTCAACATGAATTCCAACTGATATTTCTATTAAAATAAAAACTAATAAATGCACAAAAATAGTTATATTATATATTTGACATCAATAAACAAATATACCTGCAGCAACTGTAAAAAGTGCACACGCTGAAGCAACTGTCCAACACCTTTTGACAAGGAGAAATTCAGAACAAATACTACAAACAAAAAGGGGTTTGCTAAAGAATAACAGTCCTCTTTGACAGTTAGATCAACTTATTTTGTGGCACAGAAAAAAGGTCATAGCCTGAGAATCAGCTTGGCCAACATGTTCCTGTCAACAAGTCAACAAGTCCCTGCCCAAAAAGCAAGCGTATTCACCCAAACCTCATAGCCAATAAAACAAAACCAACTGTTAAAAACCCACAAGAATGCAATCCATGTCCACTGTGTTTAGAGAGACACAACCACACCTACTGCCAGCACAGTTACATGTAGGATAGTCCATTTAATGTCAGTAATCTGCAATAGCTGCAAGACAGGGCATGGCTGGTATCCAGGGGTATCTATCAGAGACATGTGCGAGGAAAATATGAGACAGTCCAACGGATTTCTGACCTGGTCTTGGGCCAGGGCATAGCAAAGCTGTGACTCTGGCTTTTTTCTGCTTGTTTTTAAAAATTCTGCCTCTTTGAATTCAACACATATGCTGCTTTCTGTGACCCTCAAATGTCAACACGCACCCCTCTGAGGAGCTGCTGCCTGCATATTTCCATCCCAAAAAAGCAGCTCTACAACAGCTCTACAACACTTGGAGGCCTAATCTCAGTTTCTTCTAGAGAATCCACGGGACAAACTGACATTATGCATCTCCTCTCACCTCATCTTGTACCTGACCTCTGTCCGAACAGCAAGATGAATGCTCAGCTAACATGAAATCTGATATAAGGCCATCAATTCCGCCCTGACACCTCACAGAGGCTCTAATCAGTGTTTGGCCTCTTATCTGAAGATGGGTTTCATAATAAGTGATTAATAGAGCAGCAATGACACGCACTGATTTACGCAGATAAAACATGAACTCGTTGTGATGGAATATTGTAGAACTTAGATAAAAGAAGAAGGAAGACCACAGGCCGCTGGGAGAATTACGCACCACCGGCGTCTTATACAGCCTACACACAGTATGCTTTTGACAAACAGATTCAAATTCGCATCAGAGGGGTTAATAAAAACGTTGGAAAAACACTGGCACAACTTGCCTGTGTGTAGCTGTCGGTCCTCGGTAACACTGATAAATCGTAGGTCGCCGCAAAGTGAGTTTTGGCTTGTTGGATTTGCCCGTAGCGCTCTCTTTTCCTCCACTTTGCTCTTCTGTTCTGAAACCACACCTGATAGTAAAAAAAGAGAGAGAGAGAAATTCAAATAAAATGAAACAAAACAAAATCAATTAAAATATTGTGACTTTGCCACAAATTATCCCATGACATTGGCGTGCAAAGGACGTCGAACCAAAACAATCTGTATAAAAAATAAAAAAAAATAAAGAGCTCCAGTCGTTTTAAATTGAAATAAATTCTCCAGCACTAGTTTGAAAAAAAAAAAATACAATCAACCTTACTTTTAATTACTACACGTATTTTATGGCGTGTTATATGAGCTACATTAATGGATTTAGATGTGTGCGCATAGCTTCGTACATTGCTCCACATTTAAGCTGTTTTATCGGCTTAAAGGCCTTACTTTCTTTATTTTATGGTTTCTTCTCCACAAGTGAAAGTTAACTAAATAAGAGTCTGGTGATAAACTGTACCTGCACTCTGGCCTCTGTTAATTCTGTCCTCATGGCCAGCTGTTCCCTCACATAAACATCTGGATAGTGAGTTTTCTGAAAGACTTTCTCCAGCTCCTCCAGCTGCGCGCTGGTGAAGGTCGTCCGGTGTCTCCTCTTCTTGCTGCTGGACACGTTGCTGTCGCACTTGTCTCCCATGTCGTCCAAATCTGTTTTCTCCTGTCCGGTTGTCACCGGAGACGCCCGCAGAGTGCAACAATTGTCCATCGACCTCCCGAGGTCCGAGTGCAAAGTATCGTCGTCTGTTTTTGGCACACCGTAATTGCCTAAAAATGAAGTGATTCATTATTAAGAATTGGATATATTTTCAATGCCATTACATTGTAACTGCAATTCAAGGCATAAAAAATCTGGATGATACGCATTCTTACCCCGTTAATAAAAAATATCCAAATTATAGGTCAACTTTGATCCTTTATGCGTTTCATACTAAAACTTTCCACGTCGATTTAAACAAGGATTTTCTTTTTTTTATGGCGAAAACATCGTCAAAATAACTAAACGCCACGAATGAAACATCGGAAAAGTTTTAGACAAAAGAAAAAAAGAAACGACAGGATCTTTATTTCCTAAAGCTTTCTCTCCGTAGAGCCGCACACAGACGCAGACTGACTCCCAAACTGCAGCCTGGACGCACAAAAAGTTACAAAAAACAAGCTTTTACGCACCGTTCTGGTCTCCGCAGGGCGAGGAGCGATGTTCGCCGCTCTGAAGCCCGAAGGCCTGCACACATTTCGGGGAAGACTTGGTGAAGTACTGCGCGCTGTCCAGGCTCTCCATGACTTGGTCCATGTAGTAATCGCTGGCCTTCATCGCTTGGCTTTTCAACGCAAACTTATCCTCCATATACTCCATCATCTCAACCAAAAAGTCCGCTCACTTTAATCAAATGTCACCCTAAAAAAAAAAAAAAAAAGCTAATGGCACGTCGCGCACCGATGAGCGGAGCAATGCCTTGTAATGCAATAATTCGCCAATGGAGTTAATTTGCTCTGTCTTGAAGGCACAACGTCTTTATAGCCCCAAAGAGAATGAGATCCTTAAAGAGCGCCCCCCCCCCTCCTCTCTGAATATGAAACAGCACCCAACTCCTCCCACGACCTGAATCCAAACCAAACAGCAGTTTAAAGTGATTCTAGACCCACAACGACTCTGAGAGGAAACAATCAAAACTGACTTTAATTTACAACATGTTTAGACATCCAGAATGAGGCAATCATTTATCTGCAGTGACAAGTTGTGACTGCAAATGGGATTTAATCTGAGTCTTTGGATACTCAAGGTCGCTCTGCTGCTCATTCATTTCGTTTTTGGGGCAGTTTAACTTGTATGGTACCGGGGGAAAGTGAACAGCAAAATGCTCTTAAATTCACTTTAAAGATCTATGGGACATAAACACCTATTTATTTTATTTTATTGTAATTATTATTCTGTGAACATTGTGTTAAAAAAACTGGTTGGTGATCATGTTGCCTGTTTTTAATAATCAGGCCCTGCCGAATGTGTCTATCAAGGCGTTGTGTCATTCATTTAACATTTATAAGTCTGTATAGGAAAGCGAATATATTCTTTTTTAACGTTTAATTAATAAAAAGTAGGACGGAAAATATTTTTGTTAGTTCAATAAAAACTGCTTCTACGGAAAATATGTGCTTAGCGCTTTTTATAAAAAACAAATGCTCCAAATTTGTTTTTATTTTTATTATTTGATTTTTTTTTTTTCCTTTTTAAGAAATGGCAGTCCTAAATTACACAGTACAGTCGGTATTATACGCAGACTTCAGACGTAGAGCAGGAATATTTAATTAAGGTATTTTAATTAAGTCCTGACATTTTAACAATCAGTAGGCCCACAGTAAAGTGGACAGTACTTTCATACTACAGTAATATTCATAAGTTCAGAGGTTTCCAACTGAGATCTAATTTTCGTTAACGTTCAGTACAAACCAAAAATCCATTTCATTGCGACTTCCGAAGAACTTGATGAAAACATTGAGTTCTTTATTCTGACTTCTTTACAGTGAATCTAATAACGACGTTCGATAGTTTGGCGCATATTTATCCACGAAATGCAGTTAATATTCTCTATTAAATTCACGCTTTGGGTCAGATGTTTGCAAAATGAATAATACGATTTTTCCATGAGAAGTTGAGTGATTACTCAAAAGAAAGAAAAAAAAAGCGACAAAAGCAGCTCAACTGAAGACCACAACTGCTTACTGAACAACCGCATATTCCTCTGAACTTTAAAAAAATATCGCCTAATATGAATAACATCACATTAGGATTCATATTTGACATTCAAAAGTCCTGTAAATGAATTATTGGCCCCTTTCTTGTCTGAATTAAAGACCAAACATCCTCCTTATGCAGGAAAGTTGAGTTTCATTGAAGCCAGCAGCCCTCAGGAGCAGGCGCAGGGCTCAACAGGGGAGGTTTGCAAAAAAATGGGACAGGAAGAGCGGGTCTTCTATTTCTTCTTATTGGAGGAATTATGTTACCGCTAACCAAAGCCTATCTCCCAGCTCCACATCTCCACCCAGAGCCACACCACCTGCAAGGCACACCAGGCCTGCAGCTTTGGTTCACTCCAGGGTCAGTGGCAGTTACCTGGAGCTTCAAGGTGCCACAGGAGAAAAAATAAAAATAAACAGAGGTGCTCTTAAGTAGCAGGGGGGTGTCTTATTGGGCTTCTAAGATGACCTGGCACACCTGCTCATGCTGAGGAGAAAATGTGAAAAGTTCACTGTGGTTTGGTGGGCCTTTTGGATTTGGAAATCCCTGCCACGATAGATGCTGCTCGGGGTTTGTGAAGTTGGAGGGCTTGGTCCCCTTTAGGCCGATCAGTCAGACTAATTCTTTAAGTGCTGCAGCCAATATGTCATGTGAGCCACCTGGAAAGACCTACACCTTCACTTTTAATAAAAACATGTACTGCCAGTTTGTTATAACATTATGTAGCACTCATCGGGGTCAAAATATGATTGGACTGAACTAATTATCATTCATTTCAGTCTTATGGTGACTGATCGCAGTCCAACACAACCAGTGAGAGGCCAAAATGTGCCACTTCAGAAGGCAGGAACATGACATCATGATGCCTAAAGCCACCCTAGGGTCTAATTCAATCTATTGAAATGTCTTCAAACTTTGGCTAGCCACGAAACACAAAAACGGCCAGAGTTTATTTTCCCCAAAAGCACAAATTTTGTGGGGCTTATAAATGTCATTTGAGCCTGCAGAGCGTTTGGCTCGTGAAGCTGAATATCAAAAAGTGAAAGCAGCTCATTCGTGCTTTAAAAGTTTGTTTTCATTTTGTTTGTTTGTCTTTGTTTTTTCCAGGAGTCAGGCATTCCTGAGCACTGACAAACTTTAGCTCTCAGTCACATGACTAAGTCATCTGGGTTCAAGTCTACATGTTATACAAGTCAGCTATGACTGAAAGCAGAACTAACCCACCAGCAAGGTTGGTCAGACCAGGTCCAGATGCTGCGATACAAGGTGAAATTTTTATAACAATGCAATCATAAGAGGATTTTTCTCATATAACCACTTCAACCCAACTTTACAGAATGAATAATAACAGATAGTGTTCAACACACAGCAATCAAGAAAGACAAGGTGAGCCAACACATGATTTGAAATAACCACTAAACTGTTTTCTTAATGTCTTGCATTTTAAAATAAACAACAGAGTTAGTTCTTAAGCAAAAGAAAACAGCTAGGAGCCTCTCTGACTGGCCGGTTTTAGCTTTGGCATTTTTCATTTTAATATTCATTTCATTTGAATGCTCAAATTAGTCTAAAAAACATTCATCAAGAGATGCACAAACACAAAGTACCAACAGCTACAATGTCATACACAGAAATATAAACAATTTATTTTAAGATAACTATGGAGTCAAGTAGCAAAAAGAAATGTTGTTTATCATTCAGAAACCAACTACACAAACCTGGAGGTTGTTTCTCCAGATACAACAGACTAAAACAAATTATGCCACTGATAATATCTTATAGATAATTCTTTTCTCGCAGCTCTCATTGCAATACAAAAATATGATACAATATCAAATGATCAGACTTTATTATAAACACACAGTATGGATTGTCATAAAAAGATATGAGTGTGTGCATATAAACATGCATTTCATGATCCATTTCATAATGTAAATTCAAATTCTTCTTGTTTCATGTATAAATTATATTTGTCTAGAACAGTAGTTTTCACCAGAGAACAAGCCAAAAAAACTCAAAGCACACTTGTGTTCATACCAGTGCAAAACAGCCTTTATCACACTCATCACTCAGCATCACATTTATTTTTATTTACGAATACCAAAATTCAATTTTACAAACAACCATACCAAAATAATTTAAGAATTCGTCCAAACTTTGTAAAATTGTATCAAAGCAGCAGCAAACCCATTTAAACTAAACTAAAAATGAGATAATGGAACTATAAAGTCCATACAAAGTACTGACAGTGAATAATAAAACATTCAGAACATTTTGTTTAATTGTACATCATAACAATAACGTATGTTTGTCACAAAGTACAGAGTGCCGAGTCCACACCGTGTGCGAAGGACTGGTCTAGAAGCACGTAGACACATGATGCATGCACATGTACATATGAATGCACTTACTTAAATGTCCTGTCTTTGTCAGAATTACCAGAGACAAGCTCTGTAACATCTGACAAATGTATGTGATTCTGTTCTACCTTACGCTCAGTTTACAAACGTTTTAATAATCATTAAATTTCTCTAAACCTGAAGGAGTGATTTTTTTTTCAAGGCTCGCTACCCGTGACATCAGTCCTGCCCTCGGCTGTGTGAAAAGAGTGACTCTGACCTATTTTCATCTAAGCGATGTTATAAGCCAGCAGTTGTCATTCAGGGAATAAATTAGCTTTGACTTTTACCAGGTGTCCAGTGCAGAATACTTTCTGCTTGTGTGAGTTTATTCCCAATTTCTTTATAAGCTGGGTTCACATTTCCAGGGGAGCTTGCGCATTCCTCAGAGTTTATACCCATTTCCCATTTCTTTACTTTGGCGAAAGGAGCTGGCTAATTGTGTCATGAGACAGAAATAAATAAGAAAAGAACCTCTCTAAAGTCATTTTTCTGTAAGTGTTTGTGGGATTTGAAGTTAATGTTATTTTACATTCTGAAATATTTCCAGAGACTCAGTAAAGCCATATATCTCTTATATGGAATAATAAATATAACAGTACATTGTTAGACCTTCAAATCAGCTTTACTCCTTCTACAGTACAACATTGCAGTTATCGTGTCATGCTGCTTTGCACACACGCTGTAGATTGTCTATTGTATGTCCTGCACTGTCGTTGTTACAACATAACTCAGAATAGTGCTGTCAGTATTTTCTTTTGCTTTTTAATACTTCGCATCACGACTAATCAAGCAAGCCACATTGTTTTAATTTAGAAATGATATTATCCAACACCTGGCTTCCATTAATTTACAAATGATACTGAAATAAAATCAATCAGCCTGCATGAATCTTTCTCAAAGTTAAAACTTTTGTGCATTACCATGACAAAAAATGAATGCTCTCTGATTAACTCAAGCTAGTTTCATACATACAGAAATTAATGGACACCAATGGCTGCCTGGAATTGTTTATAAAAATGTCAAAAAGAAATCTGAAAATGTGCTGCATGCATTCAAAAAAGGTCAGCAAAAATGCACAATATATATAATAATTTGTAGCTAAAACGTGCAAGCACACTGTTCATAGTCCTTCAACTCATTCTAAGAAAAGGGCACTTAGAGGGATTCGGATACAAAACCTCTCTCTACCAGACTCCATCTGACAACATTTGCTGACTTGAGGTCAGGCTGGCAGGGCCCTCTGGGCTGAGAGGGACATTCTTCATCTTATCTAAATGTGTGGTGAAGCACTCATTTCACCAGGCAATGGATTTTGGATGTCTTAGGTTACATATAATTTACCCATAACCCAAAAGTAAACAGATGTAATGAAGGCCGGTGGACGATGGTTTAACAATATCATTTCAGAAACAGTATTTCAAGAGAAGAATTCTGAAAGCCTGGATAAATCTGAACTTGTGTCAAACAACACTGGTGACTTTATGCATATACAGTGCTTTTATGTCACCTGTCTGTTCATATTGTATGTGCAACAGAAATTCTCCCTGGTATCACAGCTGTGTAATGACAGTTTGATGACAGAGAAACAACCCCCTGGTGTCCCCAGAGAGCCTGAGGAATCAGTCTCCCCCTTAAGGAGGACCCTTCACTTGAGTTTCACAACAACCCCCAAGTGGGCAGGACCACCACATCTCTGGCATACGCCACTCTCCAAGACAAAAATCCCCATCAGCTCATGTACAGTCAAAACACGCCCTCCAGACGTGCGTAAGTGAAAGATAGACAGAAAATAAATAGACAGACATGCATTTCCTGCCAGGGAGCCACTCTGCAGCTCTGACTATTTGTTTTGACATTCATTAAGTTATCATTTCCAGGCGGCGGACCAGCGAGGAACCTCCAAGCACACAAGAGGTTCACCGCCTCCGGTAGGGCAGTGTTTGCGGACAGACGCCTTAGCTCTCCAAATTCAAATACACAGACAAGACCATTATAATCCACGACTGAAAATAAAGAAAACATCATTCTAATTCTAACACCAATGTTTGTGCTCGGTTCATACAAGCAGTAATTTCAAGCCCACTGTTGGCAAGCGGGAGCTAAATATAGCCACAGAATGGGGAAATTGCACTTAAATCTCTGGGCTTTATTAAACTTTACTCTTAAGAGGGCACAGCAGAAGTGGAAAAAGAAAGTCTTTTCCCATGGCTACAAACTATAATTACTATATTTTCTGTCAAGAGAGTAAATCAGCTCAGAAACAAGAGTTTAGCATCTTAAGAAAGATGAATCCACAGGTATTAAAGGTCCTGGTTCTTATTTCCTGCCTTCATTTGCATATGAAGCGTGTAATTTGCTGAAGGTTTGTGATTTTGTTCCATGTGTTTTGGTGCTGGTTGGCTGCGATCACGTTCAGGCAGTGACACTTGAGCAGAATCAACATAATAGAAATGCCTGAAGATATTTGGGCTGGTCCAGGTCCTATTGGTCTTAATTAATTTTCAGGAGAGGGAGCTCGAGTTTTTGGGCTCAGTTTAAAAAAGAACAGCTGCAGGAGGATTCGGTGTAGGCGATGGAATAGAATCATAAATAAAAGCAAAGGAAGTCTTCTGCATGGAAATAAAATAAATTGTCTTGTGAAACTGAAATTTATTGTGTTGTTTAAATCTTGGGGAAAATATGTTAAGACCACAACCCAGGCTGTCGTCAGCATGATGATGATACATCCAAAGGAAGCATAGTATGTGCAGTCCTGAACAAGATAACACATAATTTGAAAATGCTGCTTTCTTTGTAAGGTATCAAAAGAGGGACACATACAAAAAGTATCTGCCTTTAAGTTGCTCTGGGTGTTGGCTAAGGACAGCAAAAGAAGTGATGTCGTGGCTGAAAAGTTTGTATTTTACTTATACACTCTGTCCCTCTTCTTGCCCCCTCCCCAGCCGCCGCTCAACTGGACAGGGTTGTCTCGGTATGAGATGCGCTCCTTTTTTGACGGAGCAGACGTGACTCGCTTGGGAGATGGAATCTCTGCTCCTGGAGACATAGAAGGAAAATGCATCAAAATCTCATACGTAAATCGAGCAGTGTGAAATCAATCCATCATAGACATCAAATGGTAATTCATATAATTTGTGCAATTTAAATAACGTATTTGATGCCAAGCACTCTTTCCCGGAAGGACTACCCATGTCTTCCAAAACAAACTGTTGCTGCAGCTGTCATAAAAAGTAATGGCATCAATTCTTTTGCACCTGTTGTGGAATTTCTGAACATTTCAACTTTCTACCACAAACATGGAGTACAGGACGTAATCCGTACCATGTTAGTTTGATTTTGTAAAATATAAACAATCCACCAGAGCATCTTTGTGGTAAATGAAACATAAATAGGAAATTGTCTCCTGTAGTTGCTCTCATTATTTGTTAACCAGCCAATAAATAAATAATATAAATATTCCCATTTAGCAAAGCATTAGTTGGAGAACATTATTTCATGTTGGTAACTAAATAGAAGCTTGTCTACTTATTTCAAGAAAACAGAGATTGCTGACTAACAACCTAACAACAAGGAAATAAAAAAGTAACATTAGGAAATATAAAAAGCTGTCATGAATGACATAAAAGTTGACTTTTATTTTTTTATATTAAATGATAACAAGTAGGCTTTTATACTGAAACTTTTTACCATAAAACACAATTCTAACTCTAGGTTGATAACACCATAATAAATCTTAGTGTGAAGACTTCAATCTGAGCAGGTAAGTGTGGTGTTTGTGTGCTCTGTCTCCCAGAAGCACTGTGAGCTGTATCAGAGGCCCTTCCATTTCATCTGGGGATCAGTACAAAGCTTTTCAAACACACAGAACAAAGGCAGCGCTTCTACCGGGCATGATGCATTCCACGTGTAGAGCCAGGCCCGCGGTCTCCACGGCCACCCCACACAGGGAGCCAAACAGCGGGGGAGGGCTCTGGAGGAGGTGGGGGGCCTGGGACGCATCGCAGGTACTGACCCTAGCTCCAAATGTCTGCACAGCTAGCACACTGTATAGAATATCCATCCACTCACAAGTCATACCTAATCCTAGTTTTTGTTTTAAATCATGTCCACAATGTAACGCTGTGATTTTCCTCCTCAAGGTGTGTGTAATGTAGTTTAAAGAAAACCCAACACAGTCTTTTGTGTTTATTTTCACAAATCTTAGGCCAGATTTGGTGGCTGTATTTAGTTTATTAAAGACTTTCGACCCATTATCTGTTCTAAATCCAAAACAGAAAGCAAAACATGACGCACATGTTGCTAATCCGAACGCAAGTTGTGCAGTCATGCTATTAAATGTAAAGAGATAAACAAATGGCCACACATCTGACCCAACCGCTGTGACCAAACAAATTGTTTTCGATTATTTAACTCCTATTAGGGTTGCCCAACGGACAAAATTGAAGGAGCAGATATGCAACTTAAGTGGTTTCCTCTGCACACGTAATGAAAATATTTTGCGAGCCTGGAAACGCATTTTATGGCACCGTCCCAGCAAGTGGTAAGTATCACATTGCAATAGGTTATAGAGTATTTATGTAGTCTTTACTGCCATGGCAAACTAAGTAAACCCTCTCACTTTAAACCTTGACTTTGATGTATGTATGCCACTTCAGTGGCAAAGGATATACAACTTTTTGATAAATAAAGTGTTTGTTTTGTTACGCTCATTCTTTTCCTTCCTCGTCTGGGCTGACTATAAACAGCGGTCTTATTTTCCTGATTTCACCCAAGTCACATTTCCTCTGATATGATGAGTTTTTGATGATGTAGCACTGAGACCATTAGATGCCCTTTCCAAGTTTATCAATTATCTAATTGGCTTTTTGAGAAATGCTCTTGCCTTACACATACATTCATATTTCAATTTGTCCTAGACAATTTCAGTAAGTGGTGTTTTCATCAGTCCAGACAAAGAGGCTCTCTTTCTCCCGGCCGTATTCCTGAGGAGAACAACAACTGCCTGCTTAGCACGACAACACTCGCTCCTGCTGCTGCTGCACCTCGTGGAAATCATTTTGAAATCATCATCGGAATCCAATTTGGCTTCGTTATCAGGGACAGGGCTCTCCTTCACTTAGATTCCTGGGCTTGTTTAATGTAGTCATCTGCTTTCAGCCTGTCAGTAGCATCTTTGTCATTCAAACTCCTGAGCCCCACTTCTCCTGACAGAAGGGCCAGTCATTCTTCACTGAAAGGACTGATTTTTTTTTTTCCTTTCTGCCAGTTTCCTGTCAGAGGAGAAATTCACGGCACTCTGTCCCCGGCCCGACCTTGTGGCTCCCCTCCCCTCCCGAAGCAGCCGACCAGCGGACTCAGTCTGGGCTGAATAAGCAGCAGCCTTTATCCCTGGCTCGCACTCAGGTCTGTGTGACCCGAGACCCATGGGTGCAAGTGTGAAAACATAGAAACATCTGTACACATGTGCTGAATGTACAGGTATATATATATATATATA